GCCCCCTCCCTCTCCCCCTCCCCGCCGCCGCCGGCCGACCGCTTCCTCGGCCTGATGGCGGATCTCGGTGGCCGGTGCAGCAAACGGGATGCGCGCTCGCGGTGGGTGGTGTGGGGCGGCACGACGGTCTGGTGGCGGTGCGTCGCGCCGGAGTGCGCAGACCGGCGGCGGCTTGGTGCTCCTCGCCGCGAGGGAGTTCGTGTCTGGCCAGATCCGAGCGGGCCGAAGGTGAGGATGGATGGTCGATGCTCGGCGGGTGGCCTGGTGGCGCAACAGGCCTGGCAGTGGTGGGGTGGTCCGTTTCTGGTGGCGGTGGCGCTAGCTGAAGGGGCGGCGAGTCCCAAGAGCAGGCTGGTGGTTGCGCTTCGATGGCTTGGCCAAGATGGAGTCTTGGCGAGCAGCGAGCGGCTGGTCAATCCTGCACGGCGTTTTGAGCGACGTTGCTCTTTTGCTAGTGTCGCCCGAGTTCTTCTGTGGAGAGGCAGGTCCGGTCAGACGCAAGGTTGTCCCTTGGTGGGTGACAACCGTCGCGGGCGTCCCGGACCTGGCCGGATGTGCTGGTTGGCTACGGGTCCTCGCACAGGTTGGGAGTTGGTGGTGTGGCTGTGGTTACCCTGCCGGGCGGGCGGCTTTGCAGCTACATCGGCAAGTGTTGCAGTGGCGGCGGTGTGAGGTTTTGTTGGACAGTGCCTTCAATTCCATGGAGGTGTGGAGGGGCTACACGCAGATGAAAATCTTGCATGGCGTCTGCCGGGCCAGCGATGATGGCACCGCGGATGTCATTCTCCTCCTTGGAGGCATTGCCGAGCGTGTTCGCCTTTCCCCTCATGCCCTTGGAATTGGTGGCTGTATCCGGGTGGAAGCCTCGATTCGGCTCATGGATCGGCACAATGGCGGCGGTGTCGACAACGCTTTTCTGTTGGGAGCATTGTGTTTGGAAACGCGTTGGTTCCTCGTTGCTCTCCTCCGGTGTTTGCCGCCGTCCTCGGTTGATCCTCCGTGGCACAATGTACGCCCGGTATGTCCAAGACGGTGGCTTCCCGGAGTGGATCGAGTCCCTCCATCCATCTGCCACTTTCTCTTAGGCTCTTAGGGTGGATGGTGCGTCGGCAAGAGAAGTTTTGCGGCAGTTGGTAGTCTCGGAGGTTTCCAGCGTCGGTTGAGACGCGGTTCTATGTATCTCTCTAGGATAGGCTCTTTCGTGTTGTAGCTCGCTTGGCATGGTGTTTGTCCTTGGTCATGTCGGGTGTGGTGTTTGCGATGCACTCGCACATCGAGTGGTAGCTCTCTTGTAACTATTATTTTGCCTTCTGTAAAGCTATGGTATGCCTAGGCGTACTCTCGGAAAAAAAAGTTAGAGCATCTGCAGCCGCACTTTGCAATTCCGGCCAATCAAACGCCCACAGACGCGATCTGTCACGTCCGCGGACAGTGATTGGTCATGCCTTAAATTAGCTAATTTCCATCCGCCTCTCTCATATTTTATCCCCTAGATCCATACAAAGCATGCAAAAGAAATTATATGTACTATATCTACGTACCGCCCTAACCCAAATTTTCTCAAGGAGCTCGAGCCAGCGCTCAGGGGTAAGAAAGGGCTTGCTCCTCACTCGGCGGCGTGGGGGCATGGCTACTAGGTGTTCGGGTGGAGTAGAAAGTGGCGGCGGCGGCGGAGAGGAGGAAAATGTGGATGGATGATAGGATTTCGGTGCTGCCGATCAACTTAGATGGCCGGGCTAGGCACTACGCGGCCCGCCGGAGCTGCACCATGCGGGGGCACCGGTCCGACGAGCTTTGGACCGCCGGGTTTCTGGCATTTCCGGCTGAGACCCGTTCGCCAGGCCGATGTGCCCGGGCGCCCCCATATCTGCCCCCATATTTGGGCTGGATGTGAGGGGTGGCGGTCAGCCTAGGCGTTTGAGTCCCATTTGAGGAGCCCGTCTAGGTAAAATAATCGTGACCGGTCAGTGGCCGGGCGGACAACCCGGGCGTATGAGGCGGGTTTAAGAGGTCCGACTGTAGATGCTCTAACTATCAGAGTGTCCCACGGGCGGTTCAGGAGACTCGGAGGGTGATGCAGTACCGTGCGATACACGGTAGCCAGTGTTGTACATCGTCGGGTTGCCGTTGGCAGGCCTCCTCTACTACCGGAGAGGATTCCTTCTCCTGCAAGAATCGACTCGCCGGCTGCTCCTGCACAACGACGGGGAGCAGCTGGTGGACAGCCGGGTGATTCGGCTCAGGGGCCAGGGGTGAAGATCATACTTCACATTGAGGTTAGGTTCCCTTGTCATATTGTGCATGTTGGTGTCACGTTGGATAGAGAGGGTGGGGGTGTATGGGGAGGATTCCGAGGTGAATGCGAGAGGAACCCAAGTGATGGTGTGACCTCTTCCATTCGTCCCCAGTGCAACTCGATTTTCCCCCTCCCTGTTCCCTTTTCTGTTGGTTGGGAGATCTCCACCTCATCCAGCTCGCGATAGCGGATTGAGGGTTGAAGATGGAGAGGAAGATGGTGGAATTAGCAAGTGGGCAGAAGGAGAGGATAGTTTCGTGGTTCTCTAGTTTGAGCGAGCTGCGGTGCGGCAGCGACGAAGGTTTTCCGAAATCTGACAGTGGAGGAGGACGAACGACTTACTCCCTCTAGGAAGCCGGCGGGCTCACTCGCCACGCTCTTGTGGGCCATGGAGGAGACGTAGGAGGACGATTCATACCGGAAGGCAAAGTGGTGGGCAATTTGATATCGCGGCAATGCTCCAACGGGGCCAGAGGAGTTCGATGTGGGGTGGTCATGGCGCAACCTACCCCTGGCATGCGGCCGATACCGATCATAATCGAGGCGGAAGAGGAGGCTGAAGCGGTGGCGATCGAGGTGGTGGCTGTCAGACCACAACAAAAGGGGAAAAAGGTCGAGACGGTGGTCCACACTCCCCATCGTTCGTAGGGCTTCCCCTGCCGTTCATCATGCCTCCTCAGTTTCTCGGTCTGCATCGGCGGAATAGGGTTCTCCCCCGCCGGCCTTTTTGGTTGCTGGCTAGGGAGGAATCTGACTAGGAGACTTGGGCTTCGTCAAACATCCCAAGTAAAATTAGATTTGCTGCTATCTGGTAATGAATAATTGTAGGTTGGAGAGTAGTAATTTGGTTTGGAAAGATGATATCCAAAAAAGAAATTACGAATTTTCTGGGCAGAATCAAGCTGATTGGGCCCTGGGGATATGCACAGAGGATGGTCCTGACAGGCCTGGCCCAATCACCGTGAAAACGTACAATTCCAATTCACTCTCTGGTTCCTTCAATTATATAAATACCCTACCCCTCCCTACCTTGGGTTTGGTTGATGAGCTCGAGCGGGGGTTAGGGTTTCCTTGGTGACGATGCCACATACCGTCAGATCACTCGGTAGTAGTCCAACCGTAGTTGGAAATTAAGGATCGGAGGTCACACGAGTGGTCTCTCCAGGTTCGTGCCTCTGGAGAATAATACCCCTGCATCCTGCTAGTTTTGATGATTCACAATGGAGGGGTACCTCGTGTGAGGGGTTACAATGGTCTGGGAATGAGATTGCTACCGAGAGTTTTCCTATCCATGGATAGATGATCAATGAGTACCCTAGATTTCCCTTTACATAGGTAGGAGAGGTCTAGGGTTTACATGCCAGATGCGATCTGGGGCGCTGCTGATACGTCTCCAATGTATCTATAATTTTTGATTGTTCCATGCTATTATATTATATGTTTTGGATGTTTAATATGCATTAATATGCTATTTTATATTATTTATGGGTCTAACCTATTAACATAGAGCCCAGTGCCAGTTTTTGTTTTTTTTACCTGTTTTAGAGTTTCGCAGAAAAGAAATACCAAACGGAATGAAACTTTCGCGATGATCTTTCTTGGACCAGAAGCAAACCAGGAGACTTGGAGATGAAGTCGGAGACACAACGAGGAGGCCACGAGGGTACAGGGCGCGCCTAGGGGGTAGGGTGCGCCCCCTGCCTTGTGGGCCCCTCGTGGGTCTCCTGACCTAGCTCCTTCGCCTATATATACTCTTATACCCCAAAAACTTCCAGGAGAGCCACGAAACCACTTTTCCACCGCCGCAACCTTCTGTACCTGTGACATCCCATCTAGGGACCTTTTCTGGCGTCCTGCCGGAGGGGGATTCGATCATGGAGGCCTTCTACATCAACACCATTGCCTCTCCGATGAAGCGTGAGTAGTTTACCACAAACCTATGGGTCCATAGCTAGTAGCTAGATGGCTTCTTCTTTCTCTTTGATTCTCAATACCATGTTTTC